TAGAGTTGAAGCTATAGGGTCTTGGAGCCGGCCTGTTGTTGGAGCTTGGGTCTCCGAGCCAGCTGCTTTTTTGTTGTTTGTTTGACGGCCTTTCTTTTCTTGTTCCGCATTGTGTAGACTAAAAACATATGAGGGAGTCAGAAATCGGAGTTTCTGTGAATCCCGTGGGTGAAGTTCGGAGCTTGGTGCGGCATGTAATTTGCTTCGCCCAAGGGAAAAGGCATAGACATGGACATCTTTCCTGGCTCCTTGAGTTCTTGAACTTTGAACTTTTTGGGAAGACCATTTCGTAGTAAATGAAAGTTTGGACTTTTTGGCCAATCCACTCAGGAAGTGAGTTTCGCGGAAGAGGAAGGAAGGAAGGAAGGAAGGAAGGAAGGAGGGAGGGAAGGAAGGAAGGAAGGAAGGGAGGGAGGGAGGAAGGAAGGAAGGAAGGAAGGAAGGAATGGAGGGAGGGAGGGAGGGAAGGAAGGAATTGGCTGCTGACTATGAACAATATCTATATCTTTATTGTGCCCAATGGGCCGGCAACCTGAAAGGCTCTGGCGATAGCGACGTGTTTTTTTGAATCCACGAGACTTGAGCAACTGGGGGTAACCCACGGCGGGGGGAACGTTCAACGTTTCCGACTTTACATTTCTGGGGGGCTGTTGTGCGGGCCAAGGAGTTGCGATGTTCGCTTCCTTAGCCAAGTGGATTTGAGCGAGCCGAAAGAGGAAATGGGCACCCAGTCAAGTGCAAAGATAAATGTCCGAAGTTCACAAAGATGACGTAGGGTTGCTTTTTGGGTATTAAAAAACAAAAAACTACTTCTAAAATCTCAAGCTGGTCATGTGCCGACTAGAGTGTAGGGTGGTTTTAAACATCACCCCGTCTTGGCCAGTTTCAGGTGAGTTGCCGCTTGGGTGTCTTCAGGCACCCTCAAAATGGTTGAACCAATAAACCGACCCATTTTAAGGGGCCCAGCATCCAAAAACGACGTTCCTTTGGGTGTCCCTTCAAGCCAACCCATTGTAAGGGTACCAGCTGTTTTTACCAACTCAAAAAAGACGAGCCACATGGTGGGTTTCCCTCTGGTTTGCCCAGACCAAGGCAGTTTTGCGGCTGGGCGTCCTGGGAGATGTGGGGCGAGTGCTCCGCCTCCTGCGGCACAGGCTCTACGCGCGTGTGGTTTCGAGTCGTTGGTTGAAGGTCGCAGTGGGAGGGGCATGGAGAGGCGTTGGAGCCACTTGGGTACAACCAGGGGACCGCAGGTTTTAGTCCATGTTTCCATTTACCAGGGTTCCATTTTGGGTACCTATTTTTTACCCACAGCCACTTGGCTGTGGTTGTCAAAACCGTGCTGGGATCCCATTTTGGTTGGTAGGTGAATTCACCACCCATTTTTGGCTTTCTTTTAGTGGTTGGATTGGCATGTTCACTGGGGGGTAACCGGGCTTTTGACCCATGGCCATTTCTGTGATCCTGTGGATGGTTGCAAAATGCATTTCTTCGCGAACTGAAACCATGGTTGAAACCATAACGTTTGTTGGAATCTGCAGGGGAATCGAAGCAGGAACCAGGGTTCTGAACGGTGCGAAATGGATTGCGCCACTATCCACAGAACCAAATCTTCCCTTGGGACTTCGCAATTCTGGGAAATGTGGGCTTCCGGCAGTCACTGTGGCTGCTTCGTGTAAACGAAGTTGATCGCACCCTAAACTGAGCCTCGGTCAATCCTCACCACACCTAACCCCTTCTCCAATCGTTCTCTAATGGTGCCAAACCGCACTCTAGATTTTTGGCCTTCCCAAACCCACCCCCAACCCCGGTTTTCAATGGATGTCAAATGGAGCAGAGTGGCTTTTAGGTTTCCCTTCAAGGCAAACTCACAAAGCTGCCCTCAAAAACAGCCACACCCGTGAGTAGAGCGGGACCCAAGTATGGCCTTTGTGGGGCCTCCCGCATCATTTTTATTTTGACGCGAGGGCTTTGAATGGATCTCAAATCAAGCCACTCTCCAAAGGGAATGGATCCAAGGCGAAACTCTATGGAGCAAGCTGGTTTCCATTTAATTTGAGGGCAGACCAAATATGAAACAGAATCTGACCAACGAATTTTCGGTGTTTTCCAGTGGGCCAAGCTGAGGCAAAGACAAGAATGGTTCGCCCTTTTGCGCTCTCAAACAACTTGGTGGTTTGACAGGCGGGGAATGAGGGAATGCCCTCAAAGATCCATTGGTTTAGTACCAAAACCCATGCTTTTGTTGATTACTGACTGAGAACCAGGTGCAGGGACCTTTGATGCAGAGAAATCCTCAAAAATTGGTGGAGCCCTGCCCAACACCCCCAAAAATCACAACCCCCCCAACCCTGCCAGGAAGTCCATGTTTTTTCTTTTTCCTAGTTTGTAACTAGGGGGATGTTGCCAGCCCTGCGGAAACCTAGCCCTAGGCAAAAACTGCCCTAGCAAAAAAGAAAGAAGAGAAAGAAAAACAAAACGCGACCGCCATTTTGGTGCAGGGTTTGGATCACTTCGTGGAGCCATCCGGCTGCGAGGCTACCGCCAGCGGCGCAGGCAGCTGATGCTGTCGGAGAACCAGCACTCCGTGCTGTGGGCAGGCCCAGGCACTGGGCCCTTTCGATGGTGGTGCTGTGGGACCCGGAAAATGGGTGGCTTGTCTTTTGCTTTGTCTTGGGGAACCCCCCTTTGGAAACCAAGCAAAAGGAAAACCAGAGTTAAAGATCGCAGTTTTAGGGGGGTGCCGAAGTTTGCAAACGCCTGGGGACCACCTGTCGGGTACCCATTTGGGCTGGGTTTTAGAGCAACCCTGTTGCAAATGGAGCGGTCGCACGGAAGCCACAAGCAAACCAACAAGCAAGCAAAGCAAAGCAAAGCAAAGCACATCAAGCATGGAAACAAGCAAGCACGCAAGCAAACAATCAAGCAAGACACACATAAATCAACGGCGAAACAGGCAAGCAGCAACTTGCAAAAAATGCAAGCACACCCCCGCATACGAGCCAGGGTGTGTGTCTCGATCGGCTTAGGCTTGGCACGGATATGATCCAGGAGTACGACAGCCTGATGCAGCGTGCAGAGGATCTTTGGGCGCGGGGGACAACCAAGAGGAAACCCACCCTTTGACCGGGTCCCCCATTTTTCGAATGTACTCAAATCAATTGGACCATGTACGTCAAAGCTGGCCTTCCGACATGTTTGGCAACAAATGTTGGTTCGTCGTTAAAACTCTTTTCGCCTCAAGATCATGGACCCCTTTAACGAGACCCGATCGCTCTCTCTCGCTCTCAAAGGCACCGCTGGGACTCGCAAATCTTGAATCAAACTGCATAATTTATTGCGAGCCCACGCATCCGGGGGTAAAACGAGCTGGTAACCATCCTTTTGGGGATCCAATTATTTCTGGATGCATGCGCAAATCCAGTTTGCTCCGTTCAGAACCCCTGGAAGGATTCGATTCCCGTGCAAATACCAACAAGCCATGGTTCAACCATGGTTTCAGAGTGGACCAGGTTTTGGACATATTCTTGAATTTGGAGATCATGTCAGCCCCGGGTTTTACCCCAACATCAAGCCAATCGAAGGCCACGTTTTCCAATGTCGGGTGTGACGTTTTTTGGTGGCATTCCTTTTCGGGTGGTTTGAAAGAGAAGCCAAAAGGAAACGGGGCGTCCCCTAAAAACCACACACCCAAACATGTTTTCCTGAAAATCCTGAAAGCAGTAGATCGAGCTGAATACCCGTAGAATGTTTGGGCGATGCTTTTGGATGCATAGCCACAAGCAGAACCGCAAACATGGGTGCCGGCGCTACGTCTTCATTGATTTGGGTAGACCATGGTAGACCCTTTTCAGACTAGGGTCTGAGTACGCCTCGAACTTGTCATTTAGGTGACCTTGAGACCAGTGCAAAATGCAAGGCTTCTACGCGAGCCAGCATGTGGTTGTCGAACGTTTGTGAAGCCATCCACTTGAGACAGGCTGAGATGGAGGTCATAGCACACCACGCTCTTTGAGTTGAGCCATCCCCCCAAACCACTCCCCCTTGCGTTATATATATATATATATACAAATACATAGGGTGGGACTGGCCCCATTAGTGTCCATTCTCTAAGTCACCCATTTTGGATAGATGAGATGGAAACTCTCCACAGACACCCACACACACGCACAGACACACCAGTTGCTGACTTTGCCCCCCCCGGCCCCGAAAACAAAAAAGACAGTCAAGAAAACGGGAGACAATCTGACATATTTGTGCCGCTGCCTTTTCAGCCGTAACATAACTCCCATGGCTGTCGTGGCTGCCAACAAGCTGGTTGGAAGATGACAAATCTGTCAAGATAAACGTATCCTGCCTCAACTTACCACTATTGGGAACCAGGCATGCTTACCTCTAGGTGTTTCATGATGGTTTCCTTGCTTACCCACCATAGTGGTAACTGGCATCAATGAGAAAAGGCTTCTTCATCATTCAAATTAGTCAAAGCCCAGGAAATCTAAGCTTCGTTTGGCCGACTGTTTTTGAACCCCCTGTAAAGGTGGCAAATGTGACAAAGGTTCCACTGCCTCTGCTTCTGGCAACCCGACATTTACGAAGTCAGGTTGTTTGAGGATGCCGTGCCAAGTTTCTCGAAGCAACAACTGCGTGCGGTCGAGACCGCGTGTTAGTCACACACTCGATATTTCAGCTCTGTGACAACCCCCCTGGCATCCGAACGTACAAAACTAAGAATGCGGGGCTGCCTTCACCATCTCTTCTCGGCGATGGGCATTATCTAGACTTCATTTGGGATTGTCATGGTGAAAATGGAAAGCGGACACGACCAGCAGAGCAGAAAGCGCTCGCAGAGCTATACTCCAACATGTGGTTGTTGGTCAAGACTAGGGATCGGGTGTTCAAAGTCCATAAAAGGCAACAATACAAGACTTAGAGAAGGCACGGCAAATGTCACTTCCGGATCCCAGCAGAAGAGACTCACCTTGATGGCGGGCTTTGTGATGGCACGTTTGTGTCTCCTTGCTGCTTCGGGCGCGGCTGCGGCTGAGTGCTTTGCCTGAAGCTTCAGAAACGAGAAGAAGTTATGAAGCCATACTGTGGATGGACAACATTATGCACCATGTAGAAACCATGTGAAATCATTGTTCGTTGGTTCTTAAAGGGGAATCGAATCATTCCAGAGCTTCTTAGGTGGTGCCAAATGGATTTCGCAACCATCCACTGTACAGGGCCGCCAGGAGAGCCCCCCTTGAAGTATGGCCTAAATGTGGGGCTTGCTAAGGCTTGCTGAGGCATAGCAAACCTCACTATGCCAAGGCCTTTTGGCCAGGCCCCATTTTTTGTTTTTGTTTTGGGGGGGGGGGACTTTGTGTGGTCTCATGAAATTGCTGGATATCTTTGCAGCCCCAAAAACCCAAAAACCGTTGGGGGAGCTTTGGGGGTTTGCGTATTGCCGTTTGCATTCATGTGCATGGTTCTGGGAAATCGGGTTTTACGGTCATTTTCTGTGATATCAAGCGGTCCCCTTTTAAGTGATCAAGTAGTCATGGGGATGGTCCACATAGACAAACTTATGTTCCCTGGCTTTGTTTTGTGGCCTCACTCAAGATGAGCGGATGCCGCTTTGGTTTTCTCGCCAGGGGCGGCCTACCGTACAGGAGGTCCCCTGATCTGATGGGTGTGCGTTGAGGGTGTTTGCCTTTGCAGAATTGGCTTAAAGGGACACCAAAAAGAAAGCGTTGCCATTTCGTGAGTCGCCCTTGACACAGCCTCTCATGAAAAACGGTCCCCTTTTTTATTTGGCAAACTGTCCATGGCTTTGCATCGGAGGGGAAAGACCCTGAAAATGGATGGTGGACGTATATTTGGCTAAATCAAATGTGGAAAACATCCCCGTGTAAATTCTGAACACCAAAGGGTCCCCAAGGAAAACACTACCCACTTCACGAAAAGACAGCGCCGGAGAAGCAGCCAGTTGAACATGATCTTCTCGGCAGAAACAATTGGTCAGCCCTCAAAGTTGCAGTTGACCCTGCAAAAGGCATGCCAAACCTTTAGATAGTCCTTTTCAGACGACCTTAGCACCCTATCGGATAGCATCATGGCCGCTAGTTGATTCATTTGCAACGTGAATGAATGAATCAACCCGTGGTTGATTGACAGCGGCTGGGCCCCATTTCAGAGGGGATCTGAATGACTTTGGGGAAAACACCCCTATGACCATGTCAGGGTGATTTATCACCAGCTTCCCCCTTCATCAAAGGATAAGCCTTGCAAAGGCTCCGTCAGGCTCCGGAAGAAGGCTGCGAGGGCTGCCATTTGCCCACCCTTAACCTCACCCAATTGCCATGATCGAACAGAGCGGATAGCCGCTGCCTCCCTTGATAAGGAACAAATCCTAGCCTCCACTTGCCCAGGTCTTGACTTTGGCGTCTCCAAAAGATCGTTGTTGTAGTGTAAGGTATAGACTATGGATCAGAATCCGATCGTACTTTGTGCGTACCCCTTGACAGGTGTCTTTCTGGTTCTCTAGGATCAAGTCGAGCTTATACAGATGGTATCAACATCCATCCTTCCAAAGCCCATAGATGAACATGCCATTGATACTGTGGATGGACGAAATCCTGCACCGCTTTGCAACCATGGTTGAAACCAATGTTTCTTGGGTATTTACACATCCCAGGTTTCATGTGCCCAAAACCTGACATGTCAGACAATTGGATCCCCAACCAAAACATATCTTCAGCTCGTTTTCTAGGTCCCCCACCTTTTTTCCGGGGAGGGTTCCCCTACTAAAGTAGCCTACAGAACAAAAGGGGTACCCTTATTCTCTCCTCTCTACTGGAGGACCTGGCCCAACAAAAACAGATCTTGACCAGCAAAACTTGTTTTTTTGCCCCAGAAAGGCTCCGTTTCAGCTGGCCCCGGGGAAACGTTTCCCCAGGCTGCCGGGCTTTCTCATCAGCACCGCCTGCGCCACGGAGCGGCGCAGCAGCGCGCTGGAGCAGCTGGCAACGCTCCAGCGCCACGGCCACGGGGGAGAAACAGTTCTTGGGTGACTGAGCTACTCCAATTCTTTGGCGCATTTTACTTGGATGTTAGGACTTTACCTTGTTGCCAACTCATGGGCTTTCCAGTAAACCACTAAAAGTTAAACTTTTAGCAGGGGAGCAGAAAGCAACCGAGAATTCCAATGCAGAGGCTGCTGTGTTTCTTGGTTTTGCGGGGAACCCGATTTGGTTAGGGGTAGCCTTCCACCTTTTTGTTCCGTTCTTCAACGACCTGCGGTGATATGTTTTTGAATGAACTTTGGTTTGGGGGGGTTTAGCCCTCCCACCTGTTTTACATGGAACCTGACGTTCGCGAAGTGGTCCCTTTAAAAGGAACATGATCCTACCCAGGAACCCCCAAAACGTCAGGATGTCAATTGGTGGAAGGGTAGCTGACCTACTCCAAATGGTAGTGTCCTTGTTTGCTTGGTTTTGTCGGGAGCTCGTTAGTTTTAAAGGGAAGCCGAATATGCTCAACTTCCATTTGCTTAAAATGATTAGTTATTTTCTTCGGTTGGTTTTAATACGAAACTATCACAAATGGAAAAGCACATGGAGGTAAATTATGTTACATTCTTGGGCGAGACTAACATGAAGCGGATTCAGTGATCAAAACTGCACCAATGATCATGCGATCGGGTACTTGGCAAGTGGGATTCGTGACCCTGGTTACCGACTTTAGGACTCACCGTGTTTCCAAGGAGTCTCTCAACATATCTCCTATACAATTTGGGCACAACATATGGCGAATCTGGCCATACTATTGTCTTTGGTGTGCCGGGTGCAAAAGGAGTTTTCTGGCAAATGGAGCCTGGGGCCCCTTGTTTAGCCGCATGGACATCTTCGAAGATCGGTTTGAGCGCTGGAATTCATGTCCAGGCCAGGGCATTGGATGATCAAACGTGACGTCTTTGAAGCTTCAGGCTTCCCTGTGTGATTGGCGGGCGAAAAGACCCCCCCCCCTCGGCCCTCCCCAAGTTCTGGGGCTTCATACTTAGAGCAGCGGCCGAGAGTTCTCCAACAGACAGAAGAGGTGCTTGGACTTGATACTTTCTGGGTTTGGACCTTTTTAGTGCGTTGCCCTGAGTTTGTCGCGTTTGATACTTGCCAGTCGAGTTCGGACATTATATTTTGTGTGGATCTAGGTTTCCAAGAAGCATGATTCTACTTTGACCAATACAGTTCAAGATGCTTGTTTTGTCTGGCATTTGCTCGTTTACTCGGCAGGTTCGAGGTTATTCAATGTGGGACGTAGGTTCTCATTAGCACTTCGTCACTATCAAGATTCCAGAAAGCGACCAAAGTCCAGAAACTCAAGCAGTGAGTGGGTGTGGTTTTTACGGGTACCTGTTTTTGGTTGGTTTGGGACCACGAACCAAAAGGAAGACCACAATTTGGCCGAGAAACCGCGATTTGGATGAAACCTCCTCTTAGGTAAAGGAGGGTGGTTGTATTCAGCAAGCCATTGGTTAGATTGGCCTGAATCCCAGACGTTCAGCAGTTGCCTCTTGGCACCAAACCCTTTTAGGAAAGAATAAGAAACGTACGCCTTCTGGTAAGAGGTGTTGTTTGTCAATCTTACTTGGAAAGTGAAGCCTTCCCCCCAAAAAACAATGTTTAGAGACGGGGTGCGTCTGTTTTTGAGGGTGGCCATTCTGGGGTGTTTCACACGGAAACCAAAAGGAAACTAGTGCCATTTGCCAGGTGCTCCAATTTTAAGACACCCTTTCGGCCCCCACGGAAAAGCCAGGGACCCCCGGTGTTCAGGTTACCCTGAATTGGTAGCTTGGATTAGTGGATTGGGATTTGATTTGAGCCCCTTGTTCTTGCCGAGGGTGGATGGGAAACCGCCCCTTAACCACCAAACCACCGATCCCAACCACCAATTGAAGGGAAGCTTCCCCCCAAGGTCCCAGTACTTTTCTGAGTGGCACACAGGCAAGCCCTTATGACAAGCTCGGAGGAATCCGAACCGTGCAAAAGTCAGGGGCAGGGTTGCATTGTAAGCTACTCCGGGTAGACTTAATCTCAGGGGTTAACGTTCAGTTCAGGAAGTGAGTTTCGCGCCAGAGGAATGAAGAAGGGAATGAAGGAAGGAGGGAAGGAGGGAAGGAAGGAAGGAAGGAATCAGACCCAGAATCGAATTTGGCAGCAGGAATCCCCAAGTATGAACAGGAATCCCCAAGTCACAAGTTGCTATTGTACCCCATATAGGCCTTTGGCAACCCAAGAGTCGCACCCGCTGAGCTCGCTGAGCTTGTCGTTTTTTTTTCGGTGAGGCGGCGCCCGCAGTTGCGGACCTTCCAGCGGGACACGGAGCTAGGGGCGCGGGGCTGCTACTCCTCCCACCTCGCAGTGTATCGGGAGGCGCGTCGAATCGGAAATCCGAGTGCGTTTGGAGCGGCACTGATTCAACAAGGACTTGCACCCACTGGAGAGAACCCCTCAAAAGAAGACAGGGAGATAATGCATGGATCTTCCGCCAACACCAACCAAAAGAAACCCAATCTTCCCACCCAAAACCAAAACCAAGAAGCACCGTCCTTGTTTTGCCCAAGGCCAATGGGGTTTTGGGTAGATTTCGATTTTGAGCCCGTTTAAGCATCACCTTTTTGGGCCGCAATGCTTTTCCCCGAAAAAGGAGCGCCTAGATAGCCAAGTTGCCACTTTGCCGACACTTTAGCCTGAACAGTCACCACTGGGAATTCCAGTGAGGAGTCTCCTTCAGTGGACATAAATCCAACCTGTTTAACGACGCCCAAAGGGCTCAAGGATTTCGCTTGGTGATTTCGTGGAAACAGGCCGAGGCCGAGGGAAACCATTTGGGTAGCCAAAGTAGGGAGACAGACATGGTGTGGGGTGTCGCGTCACGCCAGAATTGCGCAGTGCTTCTAGTTGCCATGGTTCAAGGGGAAGCCATCAGAAGTAAACCCCAGAAGCAAACACCCTTACCATTTATAGTGGTATCTGGAAGCGCTGGGTTAGCTTACACGTTGAGGCATTCCCTGGTTGGTATTCGTTCAAGTTCCATTTGTTGATCTGAGAACAGTTCATTTGTTGCAGGGGGTCGCATCAGTGTGGCCCAGCAAGAAACTGCTTGGTTTAGGTTCTTCAGAGAAACCGATTTGGGTGGCTCGTCTTTCTTTAGAGGACCCCCAAACTGAGTGGTTTTACATTTTCCCTTTAAAACCTACCCATATTTAGTGTTTTTAGCGCGGTGGGGGTGGGGTGAACAAGCCATGCGTTGTTTTCCATAGACATGTTTTTTTGTTAAATGTGTTTCTTCTTTCTTTCTTTTTTTTTTTGGGGGGGGGGGTTAAATAAACAACCCATGAGGTCCCAAATTGTTTTGCGGGGGGGTTGATAACTTATGAGTTGTCTTTTCCAGCAACATGGCCACCTCCAGACGTCGGCAGAGGCATTGGAGAGCCAGCTGCCCTTTGCGATGATCTTCGAGGCGCAGAATGAACGACCGGACGGGTCGCTTCGTCTCACCTCGTGTGTGTTTGCCGCTTAGGGGTGATGCTTATAGGGGAATAGAGGGAGCCCCTGTGAGGTGTGATATTCTTGTGTCAAAAAGGGACCCAGAGGATCTGTTTGCCAGTATCGGTAGCCAAGGCCTTTCGCACCCCAAAGACAAACTAAAAGGTACATTTATGACAAAGGGTTACCTCTACGGGTATGTAGAATGCAGAAGGTAAGGGGGTGCCTCGGATTTGGGCCAAGTACGGGGCCTTCGGCCTTTGTGCTCGTGTTCCTTGTTGCAAAAAGGTCGTCTGCAAAAAATAGATTGTACGTGGTGGTTCCCAGACATCCGGTTCCTTAGGTTCTTAGCCTTTCGGTTGGTTTAGGGGTAGTTCCAGTTAACCCGCGAAAAGTTAGCAGGGGATCTGAGCCCAGTGTACATTTTAGGGTGAAGGGGCCATAATCTGAACATGTGTTACTTTGTGTGTGTGCCTCAGATTTGGACCAGGTTTGGGAGTTCGAAACCATACATCATGGGGGTTGGGGGGGAGGGAGCCCAAATAAGCCCTTATTATGCGCTCAACAAGGCCTTATTTAGAGCTTATTTGGGCTCACTCCCCCCGCCCCCCCAGCCCCCATGAATACAGGCCCCCAAGAATCCCAGGAGGCCCAGGTGAAGGGGACTCTTGTGTGACAAGGGTCCGACATGTTGTTCTTGCCTTCAGGGATCCTACCTCACTCCAAAGACACCAAGGGAAATAATCATACCGCAATGCTGGGGCTGGGTCGGTGTAGCTATCCTTCTCCTTGGCTGTTAAACCCACTTAGGCCGTAGGTCCCCCAGTAGTGCCCTTCTCTCCCCTTTTTTGGTTGGGAGGCTTCCCCTACTAAAATCGACAGAGAAAAAATCGGGTACCCTTATTCTAACCTCTCAAATCTGGAGGACCTAGTATCCATGGCGATTTCCCTCCCCCCCATGAAATTTGTTGTCAGGACAACCTCCAGGTGACCGTTGACCAGGCCGAGGCGAGAGATCTGCTGGCGAAGGCTGAGGACTTCTGTTTGGAGGAACAGCCCCAGGCGAGCCGAACCGAACCGCGACCGGACGACTCGTCCGATCCGATGGGCGATGGCTTGACGCCAGTGCTTGAATTTTGGAACCCTAAAAGGACGGCTTGAAAGGGAAACCAAAAGATCTAGTAAGGTGGATGCATGCTGTGTTTTTGGAGTACGCTAACAAGGTAAGGGTGGTTTGAAAGGGAACGCGAAGGGATTGTCAACATGTTGGACGCTTGGCTGCTTGGGTTGGAAGGGGAAACAAAGTGCCGATTCCCAATTTGACAAACACCCATGTGAGCGCAAGAGAAGGAACCCCATTTTAGGAGAGGTTTGGTCAGAGTATAGTGTATGGTTCATTAGGGCGAGAAGGGCGGGCGAACTCCCCACAAAACGAGCTTTCGTTTCTTCGGGGAGTCGTAAATCTGACGGTTCATGGGGCCATGTTTAGTACCAGGTCCCCCAGTAGTGCCTTTTTACCGT